AGGAAGTCGTCTGCGCCGAGCAGCAGTTTTGTTTCCCCTGCTACTCAGTGGGTTCCCTGAGCTGACCTACCGCTCTTTGCTAAACACGGTGTCACTGGATGTGAATGGGAGACCTCTGCTGAGCACAGACCAACTAAAGCCAGACAGAAAAGAAACCAGAGTAAGACTGGCTGCCAAGGCAAGTGCTAAACATGGATCCCATTTTCAAACTTGGATAGCAGCTAAGTCCATATTTAAACACCTAATGAGCTACTGCAGGCTCTGGTTTGAAATTTGGCTCCTCATTCCTTTTTACGTATACATTGCCCCAGCGTGCTAGGGAGACTGCTGCTAGAGACAGTACCATGGAGATGAGTGATAAAACCAGTTTCTGGTGGGGAAAAAAAAAATAAATAAATCAACAAACCACAAGGCACTCACTCCAATGTTTTGGCAAAAATACAAAAGAATTCCTTTCTGTTCTTCTCCCTAATTTTTGTAATGACAATTCAAACTTGTCAGTCTATGTTGCAAAAAATCTTAAGCCAAAAGTAAGAATTTCTACTAAAAATCAATTGAACAGAAAATACATAGCCTGCGTTATCCTGATCCTTTATTCAGCAGTATAGAATCAATAAAACATTGTTTTAAAAGGAAGAAGAAGGTCTTGTATGGTGCTGCTCTCTTGGTTAGATTTCAAAGCAGCTAATTAAATTCTGCGTGCCTTCATTCCTCCCGTAGTTTCCATTCAGTGAGTTGTGTATTGCCCTTTTTCATCTGCACTGACTCGACAAAATGCTCTAGTGGGGCATCTCCCAGGGACACTCTTTTCCATGGTAGGAAGAGTGGTCCATAGAGAGCCCCGCTCAAATGACTGAGTGGGCATGAACTTCTCCAAGCTCTCTACGCCAGACATGCCACTCCTTCCCACTGGATTTCTTCCCACCAAGTCCGTGCTCAGTGCCTTCCCTTGCTCTGCTTTTGCCACAGCACTTGCTGTCTGGCATAGCTCAAGCCTGGTGGGCAGCATTTATTAGGACGGACCCCCAGGCAGTCCAACACCCGTACCTCCTAGCACTCTAGCTGCCAGACCAGTGTATGCATATACCCCTGGGAGCTGGGAGCTACCAGTCTTTTGCCTGACTAGCCACCCGGTTAAGGAGGCCGACTTTCTCTGCTTGGGCAGTTGCCTGCCTTGCTGCCATGCCCTGCTTCCTCAGGGGTCCAAGCGCCACAGGCGCCCCGCGTGCACTGGTGAGCCGGCACGGTTCTCTGGTAAGCTGTGTTCGGCTCTGGGCTGTGCGTCCGTTGGCCTCTTGTATGTGCTTTCATTTTAGAAGGCTTTTAGAGCCTTCAGAAGATGAAAGCAATGGGGAAATGCATAATATCAATATTATTATGTCATTTAGTATACAGTTATAGTTGCATTCAGTGTAGAAAATGTACATGCAGACCATAGAGTGCCAAGAGAGGCTAGATTTAGATGCATAGGCTTTAAAGCCAGATAATTCCATATATAGGAGGAATACATTTTATGGTTTTAAACTGAAAGAGGTTAGACTTAGATTGGACATAGGGAAGAAATTTTTGATGGTGAGGGTGGTGAGACACTGGAACAGGTTGCCCAGCAAAATTGTGGAAGCCCCATCATTGGAAGTGTTCAAGGTCAAGCTGGACGTGGCTTTGAGCAACCTGGTCTTTGGAAGCTGTCCCTGCCCATGGCAGGGTAGTTGGACTAGATGATGTTTAAAGGTCCCTTCCAGCCCAAATCATTCTGTGATTCTGTGAATCTGTGATGCAACATGTTTGTGCATGGCAGATGCAACCATGGTACAGGTACAGGAGCCTGTGCACTCCTATTTTTCTGATGCATAAAGTGAAGACTGGATGTACTGAAATCAAGTAACCAGTGTTGATTTTTTTTCCCAATGTGGCATTTAAACAACATGAACCTAATAAGACAGGGTCTCAAGAACAAAACAGTTGTTCAATGAAAATCCTTGTCAGTTCTGTGTCACAGGTTATTCCTCTGTCTTATGTAGTCCATTTGATGTCAGATTCCTGGAAAGCAAAAGACACACACACAGAAAATGGGAAGAGAGCAGGTAATCATTGCAGGGGTTCTGCCAAAAGTGTCTGCTCTGTGTATCCAATTTTATATCCTTCATATCTATAGTGTGTTATTGAAGTCTGATTCCCCGCTGCCTTGCAAATCATTTGCATCTCTGCACTGCAAGAGTGATATATCTGTGATATAAAAGGCTTCCTCAGTGATTGGATAGCTTTTTATATCTTCTCAGCGCTAGTGTTTCTCTGACATAGATATCTATGCAAAGTACAAGGCTTGTGAGGATCCGGCCCTTGTAGTTTATGCTTCGTTGCCACAAGGTAAGTCAAAACAGCACTTGCACAAAATGTGGGAATGCGGAGCGTTCAGCGTCCTGCCTGGCATCTGGAGGTTACTGAAGGCCAGACTAGACCCAGGCAGAACAAGTCAGAGTAGTCCCCAGCCCTGCTTCCCTGCGAGCCACTTGCCAGACAAGATCACTCTAACTCAACCCGGGAAGCTTGTCCCGTGCCCCAGCTTGTGTTCTCCATGGGTGGGGGAATGGTGGCACCGATGGAGAAGTGCCAGGGTTGGCTGCCAGCTGGCTGCCGGAGGCGCTTCGGATAAGTGCTTCTTCCCATGGGTGGCGTGAGCTCTGCCCTGCGTGGCTGCGCACGGGAAGCTTGTAGCGGCTGAGGATCTGGTCCTTCAAGTTAAAAGGGCTGAAATATGCATGAAGCGTAAGGTGACATTTTGAGTGCCTCAGATCAGAGCACGGACGTTACTGAATTTAAAATGTAACTGCAATTTCCTGACTAACGCCAAGTCACTTTTATATTCATGCAGTGATTGTTCTTTATTCTTAAAATAGCCCATTTTACCCCGAGGCGCAGGTGATATCTTTATGATGATGGAGCTACGTTATCCAGCATGCTACAGTTCAGGCCGTTGGTTGGTACAAGGGCTGTTTACAATCAGCTGTCCTTTTTTATTCTTTCTCAATTTATATAATGCTTTTGTAGCCTGTTTGTTTGTCATTTGCTTGAACAAGAATAGAACAGGGGAAAAAAAGCAGGAAAAAAAAAAAAAAAAGAGATGCACTGGAGAGTTAATGCTGTTGTCTTTTACTTCCTGTAGCTGAGCTGTGTGATTTACCATCGTGTCTCCAAGTTTCTGAGTCCATTCAGATAACATGAACAGTTAAATTGCTTCAGCAGCCTCTGCAGACAGTCAGTCTGTTTGTTAGCATCCAGGGCTTTCTGTGGTGAAGTGGACCGGATATAATAAATAAGGTATTCGTCAAGAATGAGATAACAAAAAGAACTCAGACATATTTGCTCTTCATTCAAAATAAAAACCTTGCACGTAGTAGCAACCACAGAAAACCAAAGGCAGGCTTTTCAGCAGGGTGGAAGCAATCCCAGCCCGGGCGTTTGCTTGTGCTGCGGGTGAAGACAGAGAGGATGGAGCTGTAGCTGCGGCTGTCACCGAGGCAAGACAACAACTAGAGGGAAGGAGAGAGCTGAGATAGAGACATCTGCTCCTGGGTGGGTGCTCCTCTATCTCCCTCCACCAGCAGCAGCTGGGGATGGGCACCGGAGCTGTTCTGCTGCTCCCAGGAGCCCATTGCTTTAGGCTCTCGCCTGCTTTGCCTATGAGCTGTCTGTAATCCCAGGAATTACCTCTGTTTCTGCTAAGCACAAAAAAGGTTAGATGAGAGGCTGTAGTAATTACAAGAGTGAATTGTCATGCCATAGGAATTTGTGGAAGTGATGCTGAGGCCTGTCCCAGTCGGGAGGGGCAGTTTAAGCGACATACCTGCTAATTTGGCTGGAACTAGCCTGCTTATTTAAAAAAATAATACTACTGCCTGCATGCAGTGAAACCAAACTAATCAGTAGTTCCTAGAAAGTTTGATGTGAAGGAAAGGCAAGTTCAGCATCCGGATGAGAGAGCTGCACAGGAGTCTCAACAGATAATGTTTTGCTGTAACCTGAAAGGGGGTTGTGGTGAGGTGGGTGTTGGTCTCTTCTCCCAAGTAACTAGGGATAGGACGAGTGGAAATGGCCTCAAGTTGCGCCAGGGGAGGTTTAGATTGGATATTAGGAAAAAACTCTTTACCGAGAGGGTGGTCAAGCATTGGAACAGGCTGCCCAGGGAGGTGGTGGAGTCACCATCACTGGAAGTGTTCAACAAAGGTGTAGACGTGGCACTTCAGGACATGGTTTAGTGGGCATGGTGGTGTTGGGTTGATGGTTGGACTTGATCACGATTCTGTGATTCTGTGAAGTCCCAGTATTTGTGTGCCTTCGTCGCACCTCCTGTTTGGCAGAGACCCAGCCAGCTGCCTTTGCTCTAAAGGCTGTATATGGCATAACTGTGGTTATACTTGCAGCCGCTCTCCTTGCCCCATCTTTTTATCCATCTCTCTAGCCATGCGTAATCTGGTGTGTCACTGGGGCAGGTGCAATGATTGCCTTACTCACCTGTACTATGCCTAACACAGGAGCCTTTGTCAGAAACTAGTAAGTCCTGCTGCAATACAGATAGTAATAACCATGAGTAGTAATATCAGGCACTGATTTACTGGGTGCGAACAGGGTATGTATGTGTGGGAGGAAGGGGAGAGTAGTTTGAGGGCCTCTAAGTGATGATATCCTGGAGTTTGGTGCCTCAGCATTTCTAGTTTAAATATTTTTGACATAGAGTGTCTGCCAGGTACCATGTAATTTTATTTAATTTTTTTTCCCCGACATACATCAGACTTGGTGTATGATGGCATAATCACTGGAACTCCAGCAAACAACAGGCCTGCCAGTGACAAGCTGTTTCTTCTGATGACTCAATGTATAGCTGTTTGTTTGCTGCATATTGCCAAATGCAAACCATCTGATGGTTGTGCAGCTCTGTTTTCCTTCTGATTATTTTTATGTGCATCTCCCTTTCTCTTTCTCTCTCTCTCCCCTGCATACAGATGTTCGTATTCACCCCATGGAGCCTATGCCCAAAGCAAACTTGCCCTTGTGCTATTTACCTATCGACTACAGCATCTTCTGACTGCAAATGGAAGCCATGTGACTGCTAATGTAGTAGACCCTGGAGTAGTGAATACGGAGCTCTACAAGCATGTCTTTTGGGTTGTAAAAGTGGCCAAATGGATGACAGCCTGGATATTTTTCAAGGTATGCAGTCTTTTACATCATTTTGTTGCCGTGCCCCTGCACTGTGAGAACTGTAGTCAGCAAGGAGCTGAGGGTGTTTCCGAGTTTATCATAATGTATGGTATTTATTGCATTTCTCTGCACTGATGAGATGTACAAAATCGATAAAGAAAGGCCTTCCCCATAACAAACACTTACTTTAAAAGGAGGGAGCTCTCACAGTAAGGGAAGGGATGCTTCTCACTGTGCCCATGCACTGATTATCTCTGCCCTGATCTATCCATGTGCCGTTGTGTGTGCATGGGGGCAGAACATCATCCTAACATGGAGCCAGAATATGCAAAGTGTTCCTCAGAAATGTCCTGTACATCCTCTTAATGAGAAGCAGACATGATCTGGGACAGTCTACATGTATGCAACACGTTACAGACAAGAAGGCAAAGGGAAGGAGGAAGCTGTACAAAAATGATGGTGGGAAGTGGCCATACCCCAGGCTGTGCGGGTCCAGACACTCGTGCTCTGGGAGGTGGAACAATTTTCATTTTTCATCCTAACACTTACTTGTAATGGTACCTGATTTTCTATTATCTATTCCTGGATTTTCTATTATCTATTCCTGGTCTTCTGCATCAGGAAACTTAAAGCTGTTTGATAAAAGTGATCCAGAAGTGAGGTAGACCCAGTTACAGTTAATTTCAGTAACATTTTGTAGTGGTGTAAGTAGATCAATCTGAAATCAGTTTAGCCGCATAGGTGCAATCTCCTCATGCGGACAAACCTTAGGAGGACTTGTGCTGAGAAAATGTACTGCTTATAACTCTTTCAGAAAGTAGTTTTGGATTAAGTGAATGGAACCTGATTCCATTAGAGAAAATTAGATGTCCTAATTAAAACGAAGTATTTTAGATCAAGGGGCATGTCTCACAAAGCAAATTAATTTTAAACTTTGATATGGAAATATCACTAGCTTTAATTTTAGAAATTAAACTGGAGGCTGGAAGAGTGGCTGTAAAATAAGATGCAAACAAATAAACCCATATTTAAAAAAACTTAATAGTATCTTCTGAGTACACCTTGAATATTGCAATAAAATTGTAATAGGAATGCTCATAGTATGTAATGCATTCTTAAAGAAGTAGAATGCAGCTTTGCCAGTCTGTATATATTAAACTTGTTTTGCCTCTTGTGATTGCCATTTTAAATATCAGTCTTGGGTGGTGGTGTTTTTTCATTGGACTGACTTCACCTTGCTCACATAACAGTTTCATGTAGATGTTTAGGTTGTGCTCAGCATTTCCTCTAGAGCTACAAAATTCCATCAAAATTTCTGCGTCTGAGACAGAGAATTGAGTGTCGTGTTATTTACAGCACTCAGTTCCATTCAGTTTTATTGGTGTGCCCAGGGATACATTTTTGTATTATACTGACCATGTTTAGACACTGAATGGGATGTCACTGAACACACACAAAATGAGTTTGGGTTTATCGCAAGAGGGAATCGCATACTTGGCTCTAATGGTAATGGTGCCTACAGTTCCTGGTCACTTCCTATTCTTTGGATGAGATACCCCTCTAAAGGAATTCTGCCTGGCAGCAGGTGATGGACACACATCCTGACTTGCATGGAAGTGCAATGTGTGCGCTGCCTGAGAAACAAATGCATCAGTTGCTTTTTGGGTCTGAATAACTTCAGCTTTGGATAACCGAATGCTTCAGTAATTGCGGTTGAGATTTTCCCATTTTTATATAATGCTTGATGTGTTTTTTCTGTAAACCAAAGGAGAGGGAAACTCTTACTGTCACTCTTCCCATCCTCCCTTAGACTTCTGAGTTACAGCTCTGACTTCTACTCTTTGCTTGTTGCTTAAGATATGTTTATGCATTCGGGATTGACTTTGCCTGCCTTTCTCACATTCAGGAGCACTTCATCACATAGGTACGCCCTGTTCAGCTCTGGCAGAACCGCATCACGCAGGGACGTTTAGCTCTACAGCAAGCTCATGTTGAAAGCCTGCCTGGCAATTTTAATAGCACTGTACTGAGGGCCATAGTATCCAACATTCAGGCCTGGGCAGGTCTTGTGTTGGTCTCATGCACTAGGGTAAATTTGCCCTCAAAAAAGTAAGAAAGCTAGTACAAGAAAATTCAGTTGTCGTAATATTAGCCAATTGTTGGTATTATGGATTTGTTCTCCCCTGGAATTTCATTCCTGAGTGCATGTATATGAATCTTCCTTCTAGGATTATAGCAGTAATGCAGCGAAAATGAGGTGAGAGCTCTCTAATCATATTGGCTCAACTAACTTTTATCACCCTGAAGTATTCTGGAGCGGTTTCTAAACGCGCGCGGGAAATTGCTTCACCCACTGCAACCTGGTGCTCGCGAGAGCCAGCACAGCCCACATAGCTCCGGTGAGGAAATGCATCACAGATTTATCACATCACATTCCCTCAGGAGAAAGTCAACATGTTGTTTGATTTAATTCCAGAATACTGTGGCAGAGCCTCCACTACCTTTAAATGCACTTCTGCCAGCACTGGTCCCAGTTGCATTCCAGTCAAACACCTCCCAGGGATTGCAGCCTGGCCCCCGCTCTCGCCGGGTATTTGAGGCAACTCAGTGTGGCAGACAAGGCTGTCGGCTCAACATCCTCCTCAGAGCCGCCTCAAGATATTTAGGTACTTAAGCAAATAAAGCTACAGCCTTGTAAATAGGCCATGATACGTACATATAATTTACTGAAAGTATTAACAGCTTGAGTTTCTCAGAACTGTGAAACATCGTCTTCTGGTCTTCATAAGTAGCTCAGTAAATGTCTCTGCCAAGTCAGTTTACTTTTTTTCCCCGTCCCCCCAACAAGCTGCAGTGAGAGACACTGCTGCAGATCTAAGATAGGCCAGGCTAAAGGAGTCAGTGACAGTCATAAAAATTGTGAAACAAATGCCTGCCCTTTAGAAGTTATTATTTCATTCTTTCTCAACTCTCTTCTTTCTCAGGAAAGTTATTGTCTATTGCAATACTTGTTCTTGAAGTATCCATTTTGCAAATGTTTTCTCTACTTTTTTAATAAACAGGGGTTGCACCTGTCACATGCAAGAGAGGAATTATGTTTATTCCTTAAAAACATAAATTTATTTCTACCCCTATGACTTCTCAGTAAATAGAAGCTGATGAGCTGTCACAGTTCTCTGCAGAGTGCCATGAAATATGCTATCCCTTAGGAGTATTTAACATAAAGTGATCTTTTTTGAAGACATAAAATCCAAACAAGTAAACAATAACTAATTAATAATATAATAATACCCTAAAAAGCCGTTGGTTGGGCATCAAATTGCAATTTAGCCAACTGTGCAGCACACCACTTTTAGTGATGGGTACTGTCCAGGCTAGAAGGTGGGAAGGTACCATTTCCCTCTCAAGTATTTCAGCTTCTGCTACAGATACTGAATATTCATTCTTAAGTCAGATGGCCTCTGCTCGTGATACAGTTAAAGTGCCTTAGAGCAAAAAAAAAGTTGAGTCTCATTAATGTCCAATGGCAGGGACTGTTCTGCTTCATATAACTTCATTATGCCATTGAAGTAGAAACATTTCCTGCATAGCAGTGTTGTAAACTTCCCCAAAACCTTCTTTATGACAAGCTGGGTGAACGTGTCATTAGCAGAAACAGAGTATTCGGTCCTCTCAGCTGCCTCAGATCGGTATTTAGCAAGGCATCGTGGAAGGAAGACTGCGCATCAGACCATGTCTCAGCTGTGATTTCCAAAGACATAGTGCCACGTAAGTGATTATTGACTGACAAACTGAAAATGAGTAGGATTAGTGATCTACTGGCCTGTAAAAGTGAAGGGAAAGGCTTCACACAGGCTAGAAATGAGCCAATATAAACGAGTTCATTTATTTCATCTGTCAAAATAGGCTTGTCTTTAGTGTAATTTTCCTATAACATTTTTAAAGAAATGCTTCCAGTCCATAAGTGCTGCTAGAAAACACGTCCTAAAAAACCTGGATTCATCATTCATGCCAGAGGACATAGTCGTGCAGGTCTTATTGCAACATTTCTTATTCAAACAGTCTCTTTGGTGCTGTGAATGTAGAAAATTCATTTCATCCTCCCCCCCGAGGTGTCAGAAGGCAAACACATCACCACACAATAACGCCAGCTGTACAGAACGAGAATAATGAAATTCTACAGCTGAAAGCAGCAATTCATCAGCATCAACATCTTTGGCCCATGTGAGTGTGTGGTCCTCATGTAAAGTTAGTCTGGAATTTTCTCACAAAATGAAAACTTGCAGAAGGGTGTCATTTGCGGTTAGTTTTTGCAAAAAGTTTTTCAGCTCAAAAGTGGGATTAGGGTCAAAATCAGAGAGAAGGAAACAGTCTGCTTTATCCCAGTAACTCTGATGTTTAAAAAGGTCCCTTTTTGTACACATTGGTGCAGGAATTGGAGCTTCAGAAACAAAGGGCTTCTTTTTTCCCATCTCATAAATATTTGATTATTCATATAGCCATAGAACGATCCTAGGGGGAAAGATAGAGGGACCCACCTGAGAAGGATAATGAGCAATCCGCCTTTGAGCTACAACATCGTGGTGATCTGGGTATTTTTCTCAGCTGTGAATCCCTGGACTCAGGTGGGCACCCGGGTCCTGCCTGTTATGGGATATGCCGGTGCGGTTTGGCTGCTTTATTTATTCTAACTGCTAAATAAGAAGGCTTTGGAGCATGGAGTATTTTGTGTCTGTCCTAATCAGGATTAGACCCCTCTAAAGGAGGCTGACTCAAAGTGCACACCTACGTAGCGCTGGACCCTGGTCTCCACCGAACCTGTTGTTCCCCTGCAGTCCCAAGATATGATATTTGTGTGTGTTTTCTCAGGCCTAAGTAGCCAAAATGTTTATTGTAAGAGACATGTTGAGAGTTGCTGGAGAGTGTTCTGACGGCAGCAAAGCGAAGGATTTGCGTTGCGTACCTTGGCGTATGGCACACAAAAGGGTAAGCGTGCTGTATGGGACAGC